GTTCAGGTACTGCATTGCGACATACGTGCAGTACAGGCAATGTGTAGTCCACAACACATTGATCGCGCAAAGGAAGACACGGGTATGAACATGGCGATGGAGAAAAGTATTTCGATACAATGTATACAAAAGAATATCGCTACGTCGAGAAGTTCCAACTCAACCCTCTAGCCCAACCAGAAAACGCCATGCTCCCGCCCTATTAACCGGAACCAGAACGTAAACTTGTTTAAATACCAGAATCAGTCTGATTGTATGGCCTATCACCATCCGGCGCACTCCCCTCCGCCCAATAAGAATCCCACTCATCACACCCCTGCTTCAACACACTCGTGTCGCCCAGTGTGCCCTTGATTTCGCTCATGCGCTCCATAAACTGGAGGCTGAGTCCCTGGCTAGCATGCCATGCGATGTGACTAGAAGAACGAAGTCAGTATATGTCTCAGATGCACTTCGTACAGCGAGGACTTACCAATGCATAATCCACATGCCGGGGTTATCAGCAGGGAAAGCAATGAGCATGTAGCCACCCGCGGGCAACAAAGCAGTGTCACGACGAGTCGGGTTGTTGAAGTTAAGACCGTTGGTAGATCCGTCCCATGTACCTGCGCCGCGACCGACGATGTAGTAGTCGTGGCCGTGGAGATGGATGGGGTGGGGAAGGGCGATTTTAGAGGTTGACTGGATGTACCACATGTACCAACCTTCCTTGTCCATGGTGTACACGTTGCCGTTTGGACCGATGGAGCGGGAGCCCCCGAGCACGGTTTCAAGCGAAGGATTGTTCCAGTCTACGACGTGGGGTGTGCCGTCGATTAACCACCGGAAAAGGTTGTCCTTCGCAGGGTCAGCGAAGGAGTCTACGCTCATTTTGTGGTTTTGGACCTCGCCCATTACGGAGGTGGGCACGGTGTTGGGGACGAAGGGGATCAGGTTGGATGAGGATTCGTCGTCGCAGCCTGCGCGCATGGTAACGGAGGATTTGAAGGTGGGGTTTGCGGTGCTGGACGCGCCGTCGTAGTGCAGGATCGCGCCGACGGGCTTGCCGGCTGAGGCGATCTTGTTGCTGCCACAGCTGCCGGTTACGACACGGAACCAGTAGTTGTCGACGGTTTGGTTGGCGGTGATTACTACGTCGTACCGTTGACCGATCTGCAGGGTCAGTTGGTCGGTGACGTAGGACTTGATGGGCACGAAGTCGGAGGTGAGGACTGTGAAGGGGTGGCCGTCCATGGACACGCTGAAGGTGCTGTCGACGGCTGTGTTGATGAGACGGATGCGGTACTTCTTTCCTTTTACTACGTTGATTCTGGCGTACTTCCCGTTGTCGTTTGCCGCGTTGATGTGTGTGCCGTTGACGAGGATATTGTCGGGCGAGGGGGGTCCACGCTGAGAGTGCTGGGCGACTTCGTTCAGTGTGAAAGCGGGTACATAGTACCAGTCAGTGATGGGGAGAGTACCCAGGTCGACGTCGTAGTTGGCAGTAGCTGGTCCATCGATAATCATGGTACCGACAACACCATCGCCATATTGGGCTGAGAAGTGAGAGTGGTACCATGTTGTACCGAACTGAGTTGCCCTGAACTTGTACTGGCGGGTTCTTCCAGGAGCAATCGGGCATTCGGTGATTCCCGGGACGCCGTCGTCCTGGCAGGAGTTCAGCTGTCTAATACCGTGCCAGTGAATACCGGTTCCGTTGTGCTCGAGGTTGTTCTTGACGTTGATGATGACTGTGTCACCCCACTTTGCTCGCACGAGTGGTCCAGGATATTGGCCGTTGATGAGCATCATTTCTTTGGAAGTACCACTTCCATCGGGGTTGGCCCTAGTAACATTCGAGATCTCGAAGTTGTACTGTCATATGTCAGCACCTATTCGAGCAGGAATCCTTGGATACACTTACAGTCACGGTGGTGCCGTCCGGGGGAGACTTGGCATCGAAGTCGGTGGCAATGCTGTAGCCATTACTCCAGCAGTTTCGTGTTCGTGCTGTGTTGGTGCAAGCACCATCTTGCCTCTTGACAATCTGGTCAAAAGTTGGGAACTCATCGGATAATGGCTCTGCACGTAGTGGACCAGCGAGTGCAACTGATCCAAATGAAAGCCATGCGGCTAATGAAGGAAACAACATGATGGTGTGAATGCAATATATCAATGCGAGGAAAGAACGGTACCGGGTCGGTATATATGAAGAGATGCTGACCAGGCCAATGGATGTCGAATGGTTCCTGGAGTTAATCAATGTAGGGCTGGGGCTGACCAGAACACAGGTGCCATTTATATGAGACACATCCGAAAGACGCCCCCAAAGTGTAAGTCATCAAATGGTGGCGGTAATCTGAGCTTCGCCCTGGGCCATACCCATGGCGAAGTCAGCCAGCGCCTACTTTGCCGTGACACCGACTTTTTCTCGCTTAGTGCTGCATGTCAGTTGGACCCGCGTGGTCCAGGTGGTGAGATCGACGCCAGGGCGCCCTAGAAATGCTCATCTCGTACTATGACACGGGGTGGACTTGAACGATCCCGGCCGTGGATAGCTGATGATGAGGGCCGATTAGGCAAATGTCTGGCCTCGGTAGATACAGCGACCGATGGGCTGAAGCTCAGCTATGGCAGTGGCTCGCTTACGTCCATGTCGGCGAGCGGGTAGGAGAGAGGCGAAGTCGATGAAGCCAAGATCTCAGACGGTGCACGGATCTAGCTCCTAATCGGGATTCCGGTATGGAGGGACCACACCAGCGCTAAGTCAGTGGTAGTTCCAACTTTACTCGAAACGGTGCGTGATGAGCGACCTACTCGTGTTGGAGCGTTTTCTTAGGTGAAGGATCCTAGGAGCTCGCGTAAGGTGATGGACCCTTGTCGGATGCAAGATCTATTGAATTACAGATCGGGTACTCCACAAGATACGGCCGCTATTCGAGCATACTCTGTGCTCACCGGAGACGAGAGCCCACATGGAGTGGTCAGATGTGGGTACTGACGTTGTGAAGGATGTGCCTTAGGCCTGATGCAGAATCTGTTTGCGACGTGACAAAAGCATCGAGAACGCAAGCTACTCGTGCGAAACATGTGGCCTAACCCACGCGATCGGAAGACGGGAATACGACCGTCCCATCCGGTACCGAGGAAGCTTACCTAGGTGGTTCCAATTAAATTTCGAGCTCTGTTACCAGAATAACCACGTAGGGCATAAACGATAAGTGAGCAGGGATCAGACAAATCCCAAACCCACTGGTTCTTCGAGATGATACCCTCAGCCGAGGTCATAATCAGGCTGACAGAAGTGCCCAAGACAGCGGTATCCCTTCCGGTCGCTTGCTGACGTTGAACGTCCAATATGGACACTGAGACCCCCTTGGGCTGTGGCGTAGACCGACTCCAACATACACGGGCTTATCAGGATCTTCATAAGCTACATGGTGTGTAGGAGGACTAAATGCTCGGTATGGCATTGCCATTATTCGCCGACTGCAAGTTGGCATGATGTGCCTTCCATGCATGCTGTGTAGCTCGGCATGCGGGTCCAGGGATGACCTTCCGACCCGTGAACTTACTCGGTCGCTTCGAACAACCAAAATCTAGGTCATCCATCCAGATGAACGGCCGACAGGGCGGCCGCTAGGAAAGCTTGTGACTATCGCATTGGATGCGACTATCTCGGAAAATGGCATGCGCCCGCGAATAGACACGAACGGGGAGAAGGAAGTGCGAATTTCAACGCTCGGATCGGCATGCGCGGCTGCTGGAAACGCGCTGGAAACAGGAGCGCGGGTTCATCAGCGACTGGCCAGCCTATCGTTAGTAAGATCGACCAACTGAGCGGGCGGGTTTGCTGCAAGTTGGTGCAAGAATATGCGGACGTTGGGGCCGAGTGAAGTGACGTGAACACTAGGATCGGTTCAGGGGTATGGGCGCTAAGCCTAGCACGGACCGGCACTAATTCCAGTGGCTTTCCATAGCGGCCGCACACATGGATGCCTTCGCCTCCTCCACTAAGCACCACTTTTCTTCCTTCTGCAGAGCGATGCAACGCCTTACGAGGGCTAAGTACTGATGAGGCGCAGAACTGCGCTTGATGTCTTTACGAATTGCTGACCGCCCGCCCCGCCCACCTGTTCCAGTCTGTCACAAGCTCGCTTCCGTGTTGACACTGTTAGATCAAGCACTTGCCATGACTATTTTCATTGCATCTTCGATCCATGTCGGCTTACTCGGGGGTCGGGGCACAGCTCAGTGCGCAAAAGATAAGCCGTATTTGTGAAGAACCTGCTGGGCTTGATCATCATACAAGGTACAAAAGAGGTCATGGCCCACTGACTCTGCATACCACATCCAGCGTATCATACCTGTACTTTCAGTCGTTGACTTGACTTGCTTCAACATGTACTCTCGTTCTATGTTCCTCGCGGTGGCTGCCGCCTCCATCACTCTCGTCAAAGCCGATGACCCCTTCGGGAGCTCCGGTGGTATCTGTTACGCCTATGGTGTTGACTTCATCGATGAAGGAAGCTACTTCATCGACTCAGAGTCTACCGAAGACTTCTCTGCTGTAACATACTTCAAAGGTTGCAACGCCGATGGTATGGCAGATGTTGTGCTCGTCGCGCCTGACGTGGAGGAAACAACTGGCGAAGAATACTTGTGCGACAAAATTCCAACGACACCTGACGATGTGAACCAAGTGGCAGACTGCCCTATCAAGAAGAACCAGATGAGCTCAGGACACTGGCTACTTCTGATTCTGGGAGACAATGAAGCCAACGAGGACGGCTCGAATGGCCAACCTTTCGCATGGCAAAGAGGTATGTCTTCTTGTACTCGGCCAACGAACAACCCATTTACTAACAAATATAGATCTCTACCTGACTGTCGGCACGAAAGTCACCAGCACGTACACTGCAACAACCACAGACACCAAGACCGAGACGCCTACTATTACGCAAACTGTCACTACTACCTCGACGGATGTCGTCACTGCTGGACCATTCTCGACTGTCACGATGCCTAGTGGCACCGCTAAGAAGGTCAAGACAATCAGGCCAAAGGCAGTCACTACGACAACTACGAAGACCATGACTCGCACCAGGCACTCTTGGACCAAGAGCTTTGGCGTCACCACTAAGACTGTCGAAGCCACGTGCACTACCCCGGCCCACGTGGGCAAGCCTGACAAGCCTTGCGAGTACTCGCCCACCAAAGTTCACGCGGCGGCTATCGAGACACCTACCACCATCCCGAAATTCCACCGCTGGGTTCGCAAGGGCGACCGCGAAGTCGATTACGAATGGGCGCGTGCCCGCGTCGAGGCCGCAAAGCAGAGACGTGCGGAGAAGGCTGGACAGGTTCAGCGCCGCGCTCCTGATGCTCCCACGACAACTGTCACTTACGAGACTCCTGTCGCAGTACTCGCTACTGTGACTGCACCAGCTATCACCACTACTGAGAGTGTTCTTCTCACAGAGTCCGCTACAGAGACGCTTCCTCCTCCCACTGTTCTTTCCGGCCTCCTCACCTCAACTACCACGCTACCGACTCCTACTAAGACCAAGTCCAAGTTTGCCTTTACTACTACGACCGAGGTCATTACATTCGGCCACGTATGGACTACGACAACGACGGTACTTCCTACCTCGTCAGTAAGTGCATGCAAGAAGCACGGTGGGCATTTTTGGTGGATCTAGTGAACCATGTTGGTGTTAGATTCGGGCCGTCAACTATTTGATTTCTATTCTGCTGTTCTTCAAGCGCGCATTACATTTAATTACTGTGCACGGCACAAGATAGACGAATTTATGACTACTATCCTACAACCAATGCTTCACACCTTCTTGCGATTGCCGTGTTCGTGTGGACATCGTCACAGCACACACGCCTCCGCTTAGTCACAGGCGCCTTGCATCGTCATCTCACCTGCGTCTCTCGAGCTGTTAACACGTCACAGCACCGTATGCACCTCGGTACACTCGGAATCGCTCCCTGCCATGCAAGCAACAATACAGTCCGGCGCGCAAGGTAGAAGTCCAAGTAAACCTCCTACGCCACGGCAACCGCCTTTACGCCCTAGAGCCAGCGCTAAGATGCTGACTCGTGCGCAGGCAAACCCCTGTTCATGTGGCTTTCTCACCTGCGGCCAGCACAATACCATACATCTGCAAGCACGCCTCTTCTCTCGACGTGACACGAACCAAAGTCCCGGCATTGAGCCACATCGATAGCCCCGAAAGTGGGAACACAAGGGTCGTGCAAGCCTCCAGCAGCATAGCGTGGACACCTTTCCACAGTTCCACGCCGTATCGTGGCAAAACATCGAATCATGTGGGTCTATCTCGTTGACGGCTCGGTGGGGTACACGCGGGCTAATTCGATCGCTCCAGGGTATGGATCTCCTCTCCGACGTCCGAACGCCTGGAACTAGTGTGCGTGTCATAGCAGATAGCGAGAAGAGAATTTTGAAGCCTGGCCCCAAACAAGAGATGAACAGCACAGAAAGGGCGGTTCGTGGCAGATTGATGGCGATGGCAGGGGCACGGCAAGTGCGTGCCGTCTGACTGCTCTTCGATGGAATCAGCACATTGCCGTGTTCCTGCTTCCCGCCCTCATCGCAGGTCGCACAGTCACCTCTCCGCGACCGACCAAGGCGGATGATGTGGCGTAAGCCTCACCGATGACATAATTCTGGCCTGCGGAGCGACAAGCGTAAGCCCAGCGACCGTATGTCTCAGCAAAATGCGGCGTCCAGAGGACCAGGAAGAGTTTCAGCTTTTGGACCTCGTGTCGTGAGTCACATCTGCCAGCGATGTCACAGTACCTCTCGTGTTTATCCCCGAGAAGGGCCAAAAAAGCTTAACCTTTTCCTTGGGGCTGCAGCATAACAGCCGGGTTATTTTTCTTTCCTTTGTTCGCTACCAAAGAGCAAGGCCATGCACGTGCAAGGATCCGGCATGGCTCAACAGCATGTTCACTTTCCCTGCTATCGTCCGATGCAGCTTCCGCAGGTAGGCGCAGCGGCTTACCTCCGATGACAAGCGAGTTGTCAGTACTGATGCGCCCCGCAGTCAGTTCCAAGGTTTCCACCATATACGAAATGTCCACTTTCCTGCTGAAAGCTCGCGATCATACATCGTATCATGGTGGAGCAATGGGTTTTGAGACTTCAAGCTCCAAAGGCGTTATTTTTAGCACGCCTTACATTGCTAGTGGTGCGGATCGGAACGACAACTGGAACCTTAACACGAGGGTGGTAGCCAACTACCGCCTTGGTATTTGCAGCGTCGCGTTCCCATTGGGTGGGCCCAGAGGAACAGCTAAGCGTTCAACGGGTGGCCTCGCATCGTATTCTCGCCTTCGTTTTCTAGTTCTGGAACAGCTGGATGTGCTTTTTGAACTCCATGTTTGTAACTGCCTGGCTTATTCATTGTACCAAGCTTTTTGTCTTGACAGTTGCTTTTGCATACTTCGCGTGGCAAAGGGTCCATCAACCAAACCTCTATCGTGTCGGTACCGAAAGAACAGAAACGAAACAATTTTTGCTACGGCAGTGGACTCGATTACCTAAAGCATATTTCTCATTCGGTGGTAGATCTGCGAAAACGTCAAAAATATTTCCGAGGCCAAGTACGGAAGCCAAGATGGCCGAAAGTTTCCGAGCCGGTGAGCGTGGAGACCATGATCACGGTTTGTACTGGGGAGTCAGCTAAGCTCAGTCCTGCGGTTTCTGTGGAGTATTGGGGCTCACAAGATGCGTCTATCAACTTTACCCTATCTGGAGGTGTAACGCGAATAGCGATGGGAGTGGAGTTGTGGAGTCGACAAAGCTTTTGTGGGTATGTGGAGTTGACTGTCAAGGCATCCCTGGTGGGCGCCTGGCAAAGAACTTCGGCATGTGTATAGTCAACAATTGACTTCGCTTGACCATGACTGTGAAGGCACGTATTCACCAGCTTGGCACTGACAGACCTGCGAAATCGATAGCGACAAGGTACTGTGCTGACTGAGCTCCGCAGCAAGGCTTCCATGCGCTTGACTCGTCGAGATATGCACTGGACCCCAGTTCAGTCATCAGCCACTCAGACCGAATGCTTACATGTCTACCCACTGACACGACAAGGCCTGACCCAACGGGTCGCGTTGATCTCTTCAATCACGAATGTAGGCGTCTAGGCAGCACTGAGTCCAAGACACTGACCGACTCTTCTCTCGTGATGTGCAATGCTTCATCAAGCCACAACAATACTTCGCCATCGGTACCATCGCCCCAAAGTCGTATCACGCTGACTGCTGCCTCACTGATACCTGAATCGGATCATGGGCACTCGTGTCGGATAGTCATTGCTCCACCTGGTGTCCTCGAAGAAAGGCAATGCTAATACGAGTATGCAGGCTCAGCTACATCGCTCACAGCCGCATGACACGGCACTTCAATGAGCCCCGGAAAGCCAGGCACCACGGGGCCGTCCATGTCCTCGACCGGAATCTGCGCCAGTACTCAACTCATCACTTGCGTCCGTACCATCACCATCATCGAGGCGCCCATACTCAACACGTGCACGTAGTCACAACTCTAAGAGTATCTCGCACACCTTAGCACCTGAATCTCACCACCCACATCCATACTAACATGTGCACATAGTTCATAAATCTAACAGCATACCAACAACTCTATTCCCTACACCTCCGCCTCCGTCCCCATAGCGCCCCCACAGACCCCAAGCTCAAACCCCAAATCCAGACCCCCATAACAAACCCGCCATCATCGCAATCCCAACCGTAGACACCAAAGTCCACCGTAGAACTAGAACTAGTCCACGTGCTCAACACCCGCAATAGTATGGCAATCTCCCGTCGCATTCGTCTCTCCCATTAGAACCGCACTTCGGTGCATACTCCGCCTGTTCAGCACGCTCCGCGACTCACCCACACCCGTGCGCCTCCGCAAGGCTCGCAGACACCAGACCCAGACGCCAAAGCCTTCAGCATTGAGCCTCAACCGCACCGTCTCTGCCAGAGCAGTCTAATGATTAGATTAGCCGCAGATTTCCATGAATCAAGGTTTAGAAGAGGGTACAAATGTAGCGCCGAGAGTAACGCCGCTGGGGCGACTATCGAGTCAAGCGTTTTGGCGTCGTTGATGGTATCGAACTCTAAATTGCCCACGGCCACGTGCGACGGAAAGGGCTAGGGGAATTTTGTTGGATGCGAGACCGGCTACCCGCGCGGTGGGAGATGGTGGTATGGGATGGTAGTGGGAGGGAGGTGGTGGGCGGCCATGTGGAAGCCACGCCGGTTAGGGTAGTGTGTGAGCTATCGTGGGTGGGTGTGCGTGTGGAGGGGTAAGAGGGTAGAGGTGGCGTTTTTATCAGATGCCGAGGGAGGATGTTTGGGGGATATATTTGAGTTATGTGTGAGGGTGAGAGAAGGCTTGCGAAGACAGGATGGCAGCGTAGTAGAATGATGGAGTTTGTTGTGTTGAGGGTATGCTCGTAGAGCGTCCGCCCGACATATACGCGATGCTAAAAAAACTGTAAAAAAGGATATCAGTATTGCAATTCAGGGTGATATGGGCGCTTGAGATAATTCGTGGCATTGAACAATTGTCTAGTGCGTCAACGATCTAAGTTGCATTTCAAGAGCCCTTCACGGCTCGTATGAATATCTAGACATACCGGGGGCTCATAACTCATCCTTGTCTTCGTGCGTGGTCACCTTCGTTCGTGCTTGCTCGATAAGTCCCTTGCGTACCATGCTCGTAAGGACTTCGTACGCGACCTGCGCCGCTGCCATACCTGTCGTCTCTGCTGCGCCGTCATACGCAGGACTGACTTCCACAATATCTGCACCGATAACATTCATGCCCTCAATACCTCTCAATATGCGGATGAGCTCACGCGTAGTCCAGCCGCCTGGTTCAGGTGTGCCCGTGCCCGGTGCGAGTCCAGGATCGATCACATCGATGTCGATGCTGAGGTAGACGGGCATCTCTGTGCCCACGCGGTTCATGATCGAGGTGATGACGCCCTTTACACCAATCTCATCGATGTCGTCTGTTGCGATGCGAATCCAGCCTTGCTGCGAGTCGTCGGTATAGTCCTCTGGTTCATCACCCGACAGTCTCGTCCTCAGCCCCGCGTGTACACTCGAGTCGTTTGCGATCAGACCCTCAGTGGCTGCAATCCAAAACATGCTGCCATGATTGAAGAACGACTGTGTAGAAGGATCTTCTTGGTCGATCCAAGCGGACGGGTACTTCGCAGGATGCCAGGTATCCAAGTGGGCGTCAAAGTGTACCACGGCAATCGGCTGCCCATATACATCCTTCAAGGCCCTCAGCGCCGGAAGTGCAATGCTGTGATCTCCGCCAAGAGTCAGTAGCTTTGGCTTCTTGAGATACTGCACCCCACTCTCGGTGCTCTTCTCCGTCGCAGGTCTTTTTCCCAGCTCGAGAAAGGCCTCGCTCATTTGTTTCAACGCCAACGTGTTATCGAAGGGCGTGATTGGTATGTCTCCGCAGTCTACGATCTTCGCCCATGACGTGTACGGGTTGAGGTTGGCTCGGGGGTTGAAGCCTCGGAAGGACGTCTGTCGGCTTGAGCCGGCGCGGATTGCACGGGGTCCGAATCGAGCACCGGGTCGGTAGGAGACTGCTGTGTCGAAAGGCGCACCGAGGATGGCAATGTCGTAGGTC